GTTACCATCTTGGTGATCAGGAGGTGGAACTGTAGAAGGTCATGTATTTTTTTTCCAGCTTTTTTATTTATTTTTTTATTGTCATTACACTGTCACAAGTACAGTGCAATGAAATGAACTCTCTGTATTTAACCCATCCCCAGGGGATGCAGTGGGCCGCCATTGTGCGGTGCCTGGGGATCAGTGTGGTCTTTGCTCAGGAACCCAGAGTGGAGGCTGATGGGATTTAACTGGGTATTTGCAACCTTCTCAGAGCACAAGCTCACTGCTCTAACCACTAGGCCAACACTCCCCGCTAGTAGTATGATGTGACAGCAATTTAGGGTTTTGGTCTATTCTCAACTCAGCGCATTTGAAGGAAGATGGATGAGTACAACACAAGAACATTGTCTCAAATGTAAGCCATGGATGTGGAAACATGATGGGGATGGATGGGGCCATATATCATAAAAGCCAAGAAACCTATATGATCTGGAGAAGATCTGTATGGAGGAGTAGTTCAAAACTCCTATTGCAGTGTGCAAACTTTTTCAAGGACTAAAGGAAATGACTGGCATCTATAACTGCACACAATTGTGTCTGTACCTAATATTATGTTAAGTTTGAATAATGTATGAATATTTGGATCCGGGAGGAAAATAAAAATGAATTACTTGAATAACAGACAATGTGATTTTTCTGGATTGTTTTGCAATTTCATCACTCATAGTTAAATATAATCTATAATAAAAATTAAGGTCTTCTACTTAGTTTGGGAGTGGGAAAACTGCAAAATTGCCAGGAATACCTGTCCTATCCAATGTAAATGTAAATACTGTGCATTTCTGGATGTTCACTTAAGACAAGACTGCAAAAAAACCATAAATAAATCAGCATTCAGCCATTAAAACTAACCTGATAGGTAAATTATTGCAGTGTTGCCATCAAACACAACAGACACTGTGTGGTTGGAGTCTTGGAACGTTGCAGTCACACCCATTTCACCTTTGGAGAGCTCCACACTGTGGACCATCTGCGGTTTTGCACCAACTGTCAGGAATTCACCATTTACCTTTAATGGATGAGAGAAAGAAAGGACAGAACATCATATACCCACCATATCACATTAACCTCTGTTAGGTTATTGTCTCATTAGGTTGCTTGCTTCTAAAAATACATGCTAAGCATTTTTATAAAATGCTTGTTGATATATTTTTTCAATTATTTATTCCTTCTACTTCCCTGATTCTACAACATTTGCTGCACCACAGAACACTGAATTCCCATGTATGAATTACCTTTAATTAAAAATATTTTAAATTATTTCGCTGTCTGTTTATCATTTATAAATATAGTTTTATTTCTCTCTTAGGCTCCCTGAATGAGATACATATTGTCTATTAAATAAGCAAACATTATCAATGATTTTAAAATGTCATTGTCCCAGAAATTAGTTTTTTCATGTGAAAACATCAATCTATGTTGAGCCTCAGTAAAACATGCGGAACAATCATGATTGTGTTTTTTTTTTTTTTTTAAACCACAAAGCCCTGCTGGCAGTCTGAAATGTTGTTCCTTGTGTAAATATTTACCCCTCGTGTAACGTACTTGGAAACAAAGGTAAAGAAACCATAGTAGACTGCTAATGTGGCTAATACTACAGCCACATGAATAGGCACAAGTCAAATTCTTGGCATAAGGGGAAAAAAACGGGGTATGAAATAACTTTTTTTCTATCCTAAAACATTCAGAAGGACTGTTGTAATATGCCAGGTTATGGCTCCTTTAATGTATCACCTTCACTCTGCTGCCTTGCTCGAGGGATATTTCAGCACCATTCTTGTTTAGCTGCAAAATGACACGGTTGAGAAAACTCAAATCTTTGCGTCGTTTTTCTGTGAACATTCCCAGCACATGGAGGCCAGGTAGGGATGAAGACTTCAGGAGTGAGTAGCTGCAGCGGTCAGGGACTGAGTGAAGGGCGCTAGTGAAGCCTATGACAGTTGATCCAGTCACAGTGCACACAGGTTTCAGGGAACAGCTAAAGGTGACAAAAAAAAGACATCAGTGAGACTCAGAAGATTCTTCCTCCCTACAGTTAAATATACAGAATACAGGATGTATAGTTATATTGTAAATAGGTATAGAGTCTGTATTCTGTATATTTATCTAATTTGGCTTCATCATCAGCACCAAGTCAAATTCCTTGTAAGCGCAAACCTACTTGTTAGTAAACTTGATTCTGATTCTATTAACATCTACAGTAACACGTTTATAAATAAAATTATAAAAAATTTTAGCCGATAGAATCAAAGAGCTCTGCGTAATTGGAAACTCCTGATACTGTTCCCAGGCAATCTTCAGCATCTAGGAAAGAAGCACAGCCCTCTGCAGGTGAATATGAGAAGAGCAATCTAGATGCTTCTCTGCCAAATGCTGAAACATCCCCAGCCGGCCTATCCCGGCCCCCTCCAGCTTCCACACCTTCTGCAGCATCGTCTGTAGCTGCTAAACCTGCAAATGGCACCACTGCTGCTTCAACCATGTCAGCCTCCTCAGCCCAGGGGGCTACCACCCTCACAGCATCGTCGTCATCGTCCTCTTCCTCCCCTGAGCCAGGAGAAGCGAGTGCTTCAGGAGCTGGAGGCAGTAGAAGCAGCTCCACAACAACTGCTGCTTACCTTATCAAGACTGCACATTAAAAAATTAAATTGTCTGGAGAGCTGTTCTAAACAAAGTTTCTTTTTGTTTACACTTTTGTATACAAAATGACAAAATAAATCTGTCTAAGTCCGACATTTTTTTTAACGCACGTTAATTGCGCATCAAAACAAATGCACCGTTCGCTTTTGTTCTTTATTTTTTCTGTGCCAACAATACAAAGAAATGAACTAAGTCATGTGGACATGCACTGCTGCTGCAGTTACTGTTTAGACCAAAGGAATATTAAAGCATTTTGAAAATGTTCTACATGTAAAATGTTATGTTGTTGAGATGACTGCAAAGCGCAGTTATTGTAGTTTCATTTGATTTATTTATTATTTTGTGAGTAACTTCATTTTATTTGAATTAAGTCTGAATTTCATAACGGAATGTGCACTTTATTTTAACAGTACATCTTTATTTTTGTCCTATGTTTGAGAAAAAACGTAAGTTTACGGAGTACTTTGAAGTACTGTTTACTGTTCTTTAGTTTTATAATTTTTTTTTACAATTTTTGAGTAATTATTTGCCAGAATTTAAACCAGGATATTTTTATTCTAGTTTCTTAAAAGTGCTTGAAAAATAATGATAATAAAATAACTTTTTGTGTAAGCATGTTTTTTTTTTTACATTATTGCACATTTGCATTTTTAAAATGCCCAAATAAAATAAAAAAATAAAATCTGCGATTAATTTGCGATTAATCTCGAGTTGACTGTTGATATTATGTGATTAATCACGATTAAAATTTTTCCCCGCACTCCGGGCTCCACAGAGAAAAGCTGGGACACGATCAGGAGACAAACACAAACACCCTCACTTTACATTGGCCACTGAGAGCAGGGACATGAACCATGGCTTTAACTAAAACTCAAACAAACAATCATGAAAAAACCAACAAGAATAGCTAAAACAAATAACTACGAATAACGATCTGGCCCCAATAGCTGGGCTGAACAGTATAAAAAGCAGCAGGAGCAGGTAGATAAGATCAGTGATCATTAGAGAGCGGAAAGGGTATGGCAATGAAGTGAGTAATTATATCAGCTACCCTGGCTGTGATCCTGACACATTTTTAGTTGTATTTCTCTTTCTTTGGATATTTACCGGCCATCTGCTTGGCAGTGCTCCATTGGACGACAGTAACTCACAGCTGTTGCAACTCCGCTCACATCAC